TTCAAAAACTTGAAAAATAAATAATAGTACTTCCGCAGAAGATGGGCATTTTGAAAAACAGGAGGCTGTGATAACAGCACCAAGCTGGACTGGTTTGTTTTTTTATCAGTGTTTTGACCATATCAAAAATAGAATCAGATTATTCAGTTGACAAAAAAAAATGTGTGGTTCTTATTTGAAATGCAAACATTTATTATGAGGTGGCAAAAACCACACACTCCCTTATTTAGACTGGCATTATTGTTAACTCCAATGTGACCAGGATAGACAGATGGATGGAGGGATGAATGTATGGATTTATTTTCTTAGTGTTAAATACACTGCTTCATAATTTTGTAGCAGTTATTTTAGAATCTCATAGTAAAGTGGAATTTCGAATTCTGAGATTTAGAACTGCTGTGGGACATCTATAGTGCAGCGATGGACAATCTCAGTTATTATCCTAGGTGTTTTGGAAACTAGCTGTGGGCATTACTGAAGTGTTCAAAGGTAACAAACACATACACACAGCTTTATTACAAGTGGCATCAAGTTTTAACAGTAGCACAGAAAGTTTCCAGAATAAGTGTAAAGTAAATAGAAAAGTATCTTCCGTTCAATCCTAGTACTTATCCTGGTCAGGATTATGGAACCTGGAGCTTATCCCAGCAGACCCTAGACACCATGAATGACATTACATTGTAGAATAAAAACATAAAACGCTATTTGAATCTATTTTATTTTTCTTGTTTCTTTCTGTTAGGAAATACTAAAGCAAATGACTCATAAAAACAGAGCTTCCTCACAATCATTACGTCAATAAAAAATTGCACCTGTTTGATACAACAGATGCCTAATATTAATTCAAACTTTACTTCTTCAAAACACCACTAATTTTAACAGCTGAGACAGATTTCCCTAATTAATGAAGGTGAGCAATACCACACATTAACCAACCAAGGCACCAGCTTGAATTGTCAGCAAAAGTCTAAAGGTCTAGCCCCTGCCTCCCCAACAGAAAAGAACGATGCTTACAAGCCACATTCTTCACTCAGTTCGTATATATGGGGTTTTACCACCCCATATATAAACGAAGGTGGTGGTAAAACCTGCTACAGGGCCCCTACACTGTGGAATGGACTCCCAGGTCATGTTCAGCCGAATCAGTCTCAGATTTTAAATCTCGACTGAAGGGGGGTTGGGCAGCCAGTTGACCTTGGACCCCCAGAGGTTTTTTCCTGCTTATTTGGGAGTTTTTGGTTCCTCCCTCCACCTCATCTGGCATTCTTTCTTCCCTTTTTCTCTGTTTCGTGCACCATTTTGTATAAATGATATAATAATAGTTGCTACACAATCATGTCAAGTGCCTTGGGGTGAAAGCGTTGTGGAAGGTGCTATAAAAATAAGTTGAATTGAGCCTTAAATTTGTCAGTAGGATGATATCACATTCAGTATAATAATGTCTTAGCATTTTATGTGTATTTCCTTAGGGTCGTTTGTCAAGCTGCCTCTGTTGTCTATCTGCTGTTCTTCAGGTGCAGCTGGCCATGCCCACTGTCCACATACCATGATGACGATTCTGGCTGCATGGTGCCATTCTGAGCGTACAAAGTACCTGCAGGTTGGGGCCTGGACCCGTTTTAAAAACCTGAAGTGCATTTCTCACTCAGAAAACACATGTACATCACAGGCCCCTACCAGCAAAACCAGCAAGCTTACCAGAGGCTTTCCAGGAATCTGGAATCATTTAATAAATCAGCTTATTAGTTTGTATTCATTACTCAACCATATTTTTCCAAACTTCATATATCTGCCAAACTTCATAAAGTTGATTCAGTGAATAAAAAAGGGCCAATTCAGGTAATTTGCGGTAGCCAAAACTGGATGGACAATTCTTGTCTTCTGAATTGAGCGATTTTCGGTGTGACCCTTAAATCTGTTTTTGACTTCTGTAAATTGATTTTGTGGTTCAAAATGATATTGGATTTTCACTGTATTAGTTTAATTCCGAAAAATCTGATTTATAGTGGAATTTCCTTTTGATCTTTACCTATCCGTGTTACAGTGCATCCTGTGTTACGTATCCTACAACTTGTTTTTTGTTTTATATAGTCTCTGATGCCCAGAGACCTTCTAACCAATGTCTTTACAGAAGAAACAGCACCTGGAGATATATTGTAGTACTTTGTAGTATTTTTCATTCTGTCTAAAAATCATCCATCCCTCCATTTTCCAACATGGCAAGAGGGCACCCAGGACAGAAGTATGGACCACGGCACAGGGAATCAGGAGGAATCAGAGCGAAGCTGTGCAACACAGGGAGAACATGCTAACTTACACAGAACATGAGATTCAGACCCCTAGCCCTAGAGGGGTGAGACAATGGGATCCAAACTCCCAATCCTAGATATGTAAATTCATATCATTTGAACCCACAAGCATGGTGGTGTGAGGCAACGGCATTTGAACCCACAGTCATAGTGGTATGACAATGGGATTTGAACCCAAAACCCTGGAGGTGTGAGACAATAGGATTTGAAGCCACAAACATGGGGGTATGAGGCAATGGGATTCAACCCCCCAACCATGGTGGTTTTACGCAATGACATTTGAATCTACAGTCATGGAAGTGTGACAATGGGATTTGAACGCACAACTCTGAAGGTGCAAGAGATGTTCAAACCCACAAATATGGAGATGTGACGCAATAAGATTCAAACATCAAACCCTGGAGGTGTGAGGCAATGGGATTTGAACCAACAGCCCTGGAGGTAAGAGGCAACAGGATTTGAACCCACAATCCTAGAAGTGCAAGACAACGGGTTTCGATCCAATAAATATGGAGGTGTGCGGTAATAGGTTTCACACCCCCAATCATAGACGTGAAGCAATAGGATTCAAACCTCTGACCATGGAAGTGTTAGGCAAACAGCATTTGAACCCACAACCCTGGAGGTGTAAGTGAATGGGATGTGACACTAGACCCTGGAGGTGTGAGCCAATGGGATTTGAGCCTACAACCATGAAGATGTGAGACAATCGGATTCGAACTCACAAAAATGCAGTTGTGAGGCAATAGTGGATTAGTGGCACTACCCACCATTCCAAAAATCAACTGAGCGCAAATTAAATATTTAATTTCACTTTAGGCAACCCAATGTAACTAGCAGTTGGAAGATGGGAGGATAATGGATGTCTTAAACGACCTTTCCAAGTAGACACACAAACACAGAAATTAAACACTTCCCAACATGACCTCCTGCGGATACATTAACACGTTTTATTGCAATATCTCTATTGAAAGCAAAAAAAGTCAGATAAATATAAACATTATACAATGATGAAAATTCTTCTGCTGTAACCCCTGATCCCTTGAAAGAAAAAAATGTAAGAAAAACAATCACTATTTACAGTGGAAGACACAGCCAAGTACAGTCTGAATAATTCAGCTTCATCTTTCCTCATTTGATATACCACAGAAATAATGCACATATGTGGAGTACCTCTCTGTAGTCTTATACTACCACTCTGAGCCGCTACAAAAAAAATCAAGGGACACGCAAAAATTATGTTCCTCTCAGCACTGGAATCACCAGCATCAGTATCAGTTATTGTTATTTGTACCACAGAGCAGCAAATACCTTTTAATAATTACAAAACAGTGTGCGAAGGATTATAAAACTGCAGGATGCTGGCACACTCTCTGAAAGTGTCTGCCCGCTCCCTGTGGTCTTTTGTGTTGAAACTGCCCCCCTCATTCAGTAGATGCAACTATTCAACACAATACCTAACAATTGAGAATATTTCTGCTTTGTAAACGAAATACAAAATAGAGTTAAAAAAAAAAACAGAAGTTGCATAATGTGTATGCTGTACCTGTGAGTCTCCATTGATATGAGGTTATCATTAAACCTGATACTACTCCAAATCATGGCATTATATCTAAATGCATATTAACAGAACAGGAAGAAACAGCATATCAAGGCCAAACTTGTTAAATATACTATACATTTACTGAACTGGTCATATACCAACCCCCACCCCACCCCCCCAAAACCGACAACATGCGTTGCCATTATAAAGCTAACGAGCTACTGTAGAGCTTTTCATCAACACCTCTGTCCAGAACAAAATGGAACAAGCCACATAGACTTTCATCAGAACCATCCACCAGAAATTAAGGGCTTCCACTGAATATCATTAATCCCACAGTAATAACTGTATTAGAACAATTACCATAATGGTTGAGTACTGGCATGTACCACTGGGTCAGGGAGGCGGGGGGTGCAATTTAAGAAAGACCTTTAAGCCTTACTCATAGGTAACTAAAAAGCTGGGTACCATATCACAGAGGACAATGTGGTGCTCCCTCCCTTTCCAAGACAATCACTTTTTATGATTAAAGTGTAACCAAAATCACACAGCGATAGACCCACCCACTCCACGCCTAAGAGGGTAAGCATCAAAAACACGGATGGCGAGTTGGTATAAAACACTGGATTCTGCACAGCATTTGTTTTTAAACAGGACACCACCATCTACACCTCTCTATTTGTTTAATCCCATTTGGCCATTTGTGGAAAACAGACCCTTCTAAAGAAAAATGAGTAACGGATCATTCATGCGTTACTGTATTATGAGGATGAGGTAAAAACAGCGTACCAAAGAACACGTGGAACGCGGGGCACAGCATGCTGTTTAGATTCTGTACCGTTTCAAAGTGTACTAGAAAACCCAAAGGCAACAGAAGCCTAAATCCAATGTGTGTCATCCGATTTGTACTCCTCTGAGCTCAAAGTCCCTCGTTCAAACAGAAAGCGGGGCTTCCTTCTATCAGGCCGTGAGGCACCTAGCTTTGCTCCCATTGGCCGGCAAGTCCAGATCCTGGCTGATGTCACCGCACGGCAAAGATGCACAAATTGGCTAAATCCTGATGGGCGACTCACCCACCCTCGTACCAATGCCAACCCAAGCAGGTCACCGTTTAAGTTGACGGATTCCGCCGTCGCCACCCTGCCCCCCCCCCCCCCACCCCCCACCAAGTGCATCTAGGACATAGTTGCCGACTAGGGGAGGAAAGTAAAGAGGCAGTGTACGTAAGCGGGGGGACGCTGGGCTGCCAGCTGCTATCCATCTCCACAGCCAATTCAGCCAGCAGGAATGCCCAGCATGCCAGGCTCGAGTTCCCGGAAACCCCTTACGTCACCACCTGCTGGTTGACAGTTGTAGCAACAACGATGCCGCAGGTGACCTGATCCTCAAATGACATGCGTACTGAAAGCGCGACTGCTCTGTTACAGACGGGTCAAATTCCACATCATTGGTTTATTTTTGGTGCTGTACTTCAGAGCATTGCAAATACTGGAGGAATGAACATGGCGTTGAGGTGGTGATCAGCATGAGGGCAAGATTTAAAAGCTCTGCGATCGCTGCGGACAGCGGTCCCCAGGCTGGCGAGAAATATCACAGCAAATTAAACGAGAAGGAACATGGAGAGGGAGCAGAGGGTGGTGCAGAGACTGGAGCAGAGGGAGGTATCAAGGGAGGAGCAGTGGGAGGTACGGAAGGAGGAGCAGTGGGAGGTACAGGGGAGCACAAGGAGGTGCAAAGAGAGGAGTGGTAGGAGGTGTAAAGGGAGGAGCAGTGGGAGGTGCAGCCACACACTGCTGCTACTTTTGCTCCCAGAAAAATGCAAAGCAGAGTCCACTGTTACTGGGAGGTGCTGGGTAGGCCATGGCTGGGGCCCTCCATCAGAACTGAGGGGGAGGGGTGGGGGTTTGAGCAGACTGGAGCAACAGCGATGGGGTGATGCTGATTCACAGTGCACCTTCCAGGACTCTCCGTCTTCATTCTGGAAAAGCAGGACAGAAAGCAGGAGTTAATGTTTCATTAAGGAGCTTTACAAAGAACCACACTGACTTCATTAACTGGCATCATTAATCAGCCTCATTACCGCTGAGGCAAAACAAGACAGACTGTTGATTTTAGCCAAATAAATAAAGCAGAACAGAATGTAATGCTGTTATTGTCATTGCACACATGGCAAGTACAATGAAATTCAGTCTTTGCATATTCCATGCCCTCCTGAGGCACAAACATATACAAAGGAGAGTAAATCTTGAGGTCTGGACACAGGGTCGGCCAGCATCCAGCTCCCCAGGAGTATTTCTGAGATTAAGAGCCTTGCCCACCAGTACATAAGAACATAAGAACTATACAAAAGAGAGGAGGCCATTCGGCAACTACTCTTGCTGAAAACAGGATATAAACCAGTGACCTTCCAATCACAAGCATAGGCCTAACCTGCTGAACCTCACACTGGCCATAGAGACAGCAAGCTGTTTCATATCCATTTGAGAAGTGGCCTCCCTGACCTGTCGCCTGTGTCCCAGGGGATCTGCAAGCTGCACTAAGCTGTCCTGGCAGCCAGGAATGACCCCAGTCTCTGCTGTCAGCTGTTTGTTGAAGGCCTTTGTTACGTGAGACAATGACCTGCCAGGGATAATGTGGACAGCAGTAGAGTGTGCAGCTGTATTGCCTGGGAAGCATGTGGAGCTCCAGGAGCAGACCGGGCCAAGGATGGCTTCCACGGACAAGTCTGTCTGACCTCAGCTGCTTAACCTTTAACCACAGTCTAGAATGCCCCCAAGTCTGATATCCACAACATGTTTTAGCATTATTGGATTAAACATTTTTTTCAAAGGCTGTTACGAGCTGTGTGAGAGACAGAATGTTTGCAGGCCTGAAATACATGTCACAGGACAGCCCCGTCCTAACGCCCCGATGACCATAAACAGCACACACGCCCTGGAGGATGGTAAGCTTTTTTCCACTTCCAGCTGGTTATGGAATGTTACAGCACTTAGAGGCACCCGTGAGACTCCCTCTGTGAGCCTGTGATCAGACAGTATCTGACCGCTGCCACTGCCGTGTGACCATTCTGCCTGAGCAGCCCCATTCCGGCAGGCCAGCCTGCCACTTCTCTCTCTCTCTCTCTCCCTCCCTCCCTCCCTCCCTAAGAAGTTGCTACAACAGCAGTGGCAAGTTTGCTGGGACCAACAACTTCCGAACAGCAGGAACAATGGTTACACAACCACTAGAACATTCCCCTTTATGTCAACATATATTCACGAAAACATGATGATTTTTCTTAAATCCAGTTTATTCCAAACAACTAATATTCCCACACCAAGAAGTCAGTTGGTTTCACAACTGTCAACAACACCATCACTACAAAGTTTGACTGCATCAATAACACAAATACTAAAATCAAAAACCTATTCCTTAGTATCAAGACTCATATCTGAGCCTTCGGCAAAAGAATTCCTTTGTCTTAAATAACAGTGACACGAGCACTTCTACGATGATGTCCTCTCAAACAGGGATCAGCGCTGGCTCAGCAGAATAAGGCAACCCCACCACGTGGTTACTTCCATTTAGCCTTTTTGGTTCCGCAAAATCAGAATGAGGAATCTCTAAACGCCTGTCATTTCCTGGTGTGGTACTGATCACAGAGAAAGTCTTACAAAATCCATGGTAAAGATGTGGATCTACACTGGTCCAATGACCCAAGTGCTTTAAAACCATATTATTACTAGATTCCTCAGTAAAAAAATGTTACAGAATTCCACCCCTAAAAAATATGCGATGCAACAACCTCATAAAGTTAATGCACTGTTGTCAAAGCACAGATCAAGCCAGTCATCCTCAACCACAGACACTTACATTGTTAGCAAAACCACTACAATAGAGATTAAGTAGTATTGCACCCTGCAATGAATACTCATACAAAGCAGCTGGATCTATTGGAAATCAGCCCCGTTGGCCTCCAGTTTCATTTTAACCGTGATCCGTGATACTTGCATCTTGTAGCAAAGCAGACAGAATTACAGCAACTGCTTACAGGTTGTGTTTTGGATCATTAAACTCAACACTTGTGCTAGTGCAGTAGTTCTCAATCTTGTTCCTGGCACCCCCCCCTGCCAGAATGTTTTCATTCCAACCCACACTGCTTTCAACCTGCCACATTCATTATCAGCTTATTAAGGACCATCAGAGCCTGATTAAGTTAGGGATGGAATGAAAACATTCGGGGGGGCAGGAACAGGATTGAGAACTACTGCTAGTGAAACTAAAGAAAATTGCTTCAGATTTGTTTAAAGTAGCATTTAATCATGAAGATTTTTACATCAGTTCCTGACACCCTGTTTTTGTATTTTGCAACAAGAGGAAAGCTGATGACCAACAGGATTTTTCCACATTTGGATTATACACAGGCATGTGCTAGCGATGGGGTGACACTGTGGGACTAGCTTAATCAGAATACTCAACTCCAACATCAAACAGGATGAGAGTCCCTCTAAAACCATCAACATCCAAGGTCTGCTAGCAAACAACTGAGGCCCTGATGTTGTGCTTTCAAGCAACACAGTGGTGTACGAGTGTAAAGGACTGTTCTTTAATATGGTCTTTATTATGTATCTTTATGTCAGACACCTGGCCATTGACTAGGGGTTAATCTTCCCAAGGGGGAAGTCTTGCAAGCCATGTTTAGTGAACGAAATGAGCTGGATGGCTCAGCAACAGAGGGCAGTGGGGCACTGTAACGTGATCTCAAGAAGCTTGTTTTGCAGACAGCACCTCCTCACAACCAAGCTGTTTCCCAGGCAGCAATGTCCCCCCAAACCCTAACATTACTGCAGATCGATGGTCACGGATTTTATAAAAAACAAAGGCCCACACTTTGCTTTAATGAAACTTTATTCAGCGTAAAACCTCACAAAACATAAGCGCCCTAAAATCCCATGCAAATTTGGCTTCAGGTAGGTGCTACGCTAAGCCCACTGTGGTCTACGGCAAAACACACACTGACAGAGGTCGGGAGCTCGTGATGAGGTGAGGTATGAGCCTCCCCACGGACCCTTAACCGCCCACGACCGGGCAGCCAAGGCAGACTACCTTAAAACAATCACTGATTAGCAGGAAGAAGAAACCCCCAGGGATGGGTGAACCGCATGGGAAGCACTCACTGTCACCCTATCATGTTAATTCTTCTGATGAGACGGTGGACGCTGACACCTTACATGTGTGGCAGGTAGCTGACCTTGCCTCACAGTGCAATCCTAGCTCAGGTCACACTGAACTGGGCTCTATCACATTTTGTGGCTTTGTCCTTCATATAAAATACTTGATTTATGTATTTTCATAATGATTGTGTTTTTTTCATATTACTTATATTAGCATTTTGGTGAACTTTGTGCTCGAAACTTTCTCGAATCATTCCTGCTGATATACCGCAATTGTATCTACGGACTTGAGCGAAAATAAAGCGCTGGATTTGCAGATGAGGTAATGAGCAGAGGAGTAAAATTGCACCATGTATAAATAATCAGACTTCATCCATCCATCCATCCATCAATCCATCCATCAATCCATCCATCAATCCATCCATCAATCCATCCATCCATCCATCAGACCCACTGTGGAGCCATGTGGACTGACCCGTGCTGAGCTGGGAGTTTGATTTCTGCCCCAGAGCTTTTGGGAAGTGGACAGGTGTACAAGAACAAATGCTTCTATTTTCTCAGTCAACGACACTCATGACACCACATTATTATTATTCATTGACGAAATCCTCCTCTGCTTCATCTAATAGCAGTAATTTCAGTCTTTATGTGGCAGTCACATATTACTGTATGTCAGCAGCTCATATATGGTATGTTTTAAATGTCCACAGTGATCCTCAGATAATCTACAGTACCAAGGAGGAGGCAGCAGTGTGAACCTTGACGAAAATGGCATAGCAGCCAGGAGGGGGCGTGCATGTGCGCTGGAGTACACTGGGGCCTCAATGGAACATGTGACATGCTGATATCAGTTTTAAGAGGGTAAAATCAGAATGGAGGTACTTTAAATGCATCAATAACTTAAGGTATTTCTTTTTCACACATATGTTCACAAGCATACATGCATACGCTCACAAGCACACATGCATGCATACGCACACACGCACACACACACACAACAGGCACATGCAAGACTGAGCTCCAGATGACTTGAGCAGTAAACGGGGGGCGGAGTTACACCCAAGCACCCCTGTCAGATGACGGGGAGACCCCAGCCTCAAATTCGCTTTCCAGAAGAGGAAGGGAACGAGGCGGGATCAGAGAAGAACAAATAATAATAAAAAAAAAAACAAATAGCTTGGAAACCAAGTGAGGCCAGGTAATCCAACTGGGCTTACCTCCTGCAGGAGAAACCTCTACCATCCATGTCTGTAGTCATAAATAAGGGCCAGTCCCAAAATAAAGTAGTAAATATAGATGCACACAGTATATCTTAAAGCAGCACAGGACGCTGAGGGGCCGGACGAGCAGCCGGTCAGGGTGCGGTAAACAATGGCAGTGGCAGAGGTAGCTCTGCCCCGGCCTGGACTCCGACCTGCTTTTCAGTGTGCGACCCAAGGTGCTCACACAAAGCTCATGTGGGGGGTGACGGTCTACAAATAAATGTTTTTTTCTTTTTTTTTTTTTTGTAAGCGACTAGCAACAATTTATGAGGCCAAACCGTGTCACATGCCCCCTGGCATTAAAACTCTCCAAAAGTCTTCTAATGATCCAAATTTAATTAGCCTTTTTCACTGCACTTCCATCATACAGAAATTTCCATTTGCACATTACCTAATGGGTGTTTATTCGTTTCACATAAGAGACTCGGAGGTGATCTGTGGCAGCGCCGCCAATAAATACACCCCAAGGTAAGGACTGTGTACAGCCCACCGTGATCAGATCCTATAGATCCCGCCATTCTTTCTGAACGTCCAGCTAAAACCAAGTTTATACAGAGACATATGGCTAAATGTTAAACACATATGAAGCAAATTACCTATTACAAAACGTACAGCTATTCAATACCTGAATAGGAAAAAAATAGGAGATGAACTCTGCATAAACCCAATTAGAATGCTGTGGATAAAAGTACAAAAACAATCCAAATCAAACTCGTCTTCAGTCAACTACCTACATGATTGGAAACATCAATCAGATGACAATTCAGATTAAATATGGTATGATCTTGAGGACACGTTCATTTTGATGCCTGCAATAAAGCATCCTGGAGGCTCAGTTACTCTCCCTAACAATCCACCTGGTATTCACCATGCAAAGGCAGGTGGTGTCTGGTAAACAGCAAACAGCATCCAAATTGTCAGACATCAGGCTGGGGTCATGAGGACATGCCTTCAGACCTTTGACCTTTCATGTACAAACAGCCCCTGCTAACAAGACTTTGTTTCTGTGGTGTCAGCAAAATGCTGGTCTCTCCAACTCTTTAAGAGAATCTACGCAGCACCGCTGACCCAAAAACCACTGCTATAAATCTAATTTTGTATCTAATATAACACGTTGCCTTATTTTCAGGCTCAGTTTAAATAACATTAATCAGTGGTTAAAACAAAAAAAAAGGTGTACAACAAAACAGATGTTAAGCTTAGTCTGAGAGTGAGATTCCCAGAAACACAGCAAACACCTTGAGTAATGTAGACCTTAGAAGAGAAAGATGAAAGAATCACTGCAATAATTGACAGCAAATTTTCCCAGGAGCCAAGCTAAAACTGACAGATAGGTTGCAAAACACAGCATGTGACAATTATTCCAAATGCGGCATGTGGCATCGTTATATAATTAGGGAGGAAATCTTCATGGCTGAAGGCTCTGAAAGCTGTCAGTACAACACAGACATCAGTGAGACAGGCAGACACCAACGAAAGACAGATTGACAGAAACAGATGGACAAATATCAGTGAGACAGGCAGACAGACAGAGGTACAGCTATCAGTCCTTTTCAGCTGTGCTGTTCTGACAGCTGTCCAGTGTGAGTTTAGAAAGCTCATCCTAAGCTGACGCTCTAAAGAGGTCAAGTAAAGAGCCTCATCAGTGTGACTCTCTCCCCCTCTCTCCTGGTTCCAGCCGTTTACTCCTAGCTTGGATGTCTCGTTCTGGCCCCAGTATCACACTCACCATACGGCAGTGTGCCCACGGCATACCTCACAAACTGCGCACCGCTGCTGGTTACCTTGGTGAGTGAGGCCCTGCAAATCTGGCTCATTTCATCACTTATTCACTGATGGCTTTCTCTCCCCCACACCCTATGAAAAACAGACATGTCTCATGTTTAAAGGGGATCAGCTGCCGCAGAAGAGCCCCCCTGGCCACCGACCAACCAGGAGCTGGCAGAGAGCAAAAATGTGGACTGTCTGTGGTTCCCAAGAATCGGGTTGGGAAACACTGCATTAAAACGACAGCAATGACAGCACGGTATGTGTGGCTCAAATAATACTTCCCATCCAGCTCCCCCCAGCACCACCCCCTATCCATCTGTACCGTAACTTCTCCAATAAACAAATGAGTCAGGCGGGCCCAGTAGTGACCATAGGCTGCCGTTTGCACAGTATCCACCAGTACTGCCCCACACCGAGGCTGTGGAGAGTATCAGTATTTTCTGGGGGGTGGGGAGGGGATTTTGGTGACTAGCATTAACCAAAACCCTGTGGCTAATGAACGCAGCTCGAAGTCGCCTGTGTTTCATGGCAGAGATGAACCAAAACTATTTTTGGTGACAATGTCAGTCTGGGCAATCTGACAGCAGAGCAGCCAGCCAGAGGAGGCAACAGAGCAGAGCCTGTTTATGAGGCTTCACATCAGAAAACAGCTGGCCTCCCTAAGAGAAATACCGGTTATGAGTTGTCTTATTACAAATGGGGGTTTCCTTTAATTGTGTAAGGGCTTCTGAACACCCAGCCCCCCCCCCACAGGCTCTGACATGATCAGAAATGAAATCTTCTTTCACATGCGCTGAAATACGCCAATACCCCAACACACCTCCTCAGGTCAAAAAGCAAAGAGAAACAGAGTGCTGCTATAAGCACACCTGTGTGGTTCCCCACAACCACGCCATCCCCCAAACAGAAACTGAAGGCAGGCCAACTTTTGCTGTAAGGAATGTATTGAGCCTCATTTTATCATAATAGTGACACACAAACAAAAACTATTCACTCACATAACTTGAATAACTCAAATCCATTAAGTGCTACCAGGAAGAAATAATATTTGCAGCAACTAGACAAGACAAACATGCACGCAGACACACTTCGGGAGCTGCGAACAGCAAGCATCTAGACAATGCACAAATGACCTAGGACTGCAGTTAGAAAAACGGGGGGCGCCGTCCCACCGGAGCAAGAAATCACTAACAGAGCTGAGTGTCTACCATACCCTCATTGAGCCTACGATCAGACAGCTTCCTGTGCCAACAGGAAACCAAGGATAACGGGTGAAATCCAATTTGTGGTTAACCTCCACTCAAAATCCCAGGCCTAAAGCTAAACATTTCAGCATTTCCATCTAAATTCGAAGGGAATCTCGCAGTCCTCTCTGCAAGCCGGGAGGGCATAGGACACAGGGCACAGGAGCAGCAGCATTTGCACTGGGAGGTACTTTACTCTCGCTCACGCGACCTGTAACACACAGGAAGGCAGAAACAGAACCAACCTTTTGAGACGGACGTCAGCACTTCTGAGAAGTCTATACTAGCGTAGGGTCCATTTTCTGCAAGGGACAGTGAGGCCGGCGGTGAGGGAGGAACTGCGAGAAGGGTGCCGCTGCCACCGCAGCTGAGCTGGGGCTCCTCCCTCAGGTCCAGAGCAATGTAATTGAGGCCGTTCTGGTACCCAGCAGAGGTGTTCCGGTAGATTCGTCCTCCTGGGGCACAGCCTGCCTCAGTGAGGGCTGGTGAGGGACCTGCATCAGGTGTGGCGACGCCCTCCATCTGCAGCAAGACACTGTCAAATGACACTGAGCCGTGCCATTTTGCACCATCTGCCAGATGGGGACCCGCTGGCATCAGGACACTACTACTGGTGCATGTGATCCCAGCTGGCGTGGAGGTAAATGTCTCTGAACTGTGCCTCCGCCTGCCCTGGGGGTCAGCCCGAATGACTTTCGGCTCTCTTTTTGGGCTGGTAGGGGGCAGCTGTGGGAAGTGACATCCCACATCACGCGGTTGAACCACCAGTTCGCACCCCTTCTCACTCGAGCAGAATGTCATCTCTGTGTAGTCGTCCACTTGCCCATCACTGCACAGCATTGAGGCCAACACTGGAGACCTGCTGTAGCTGGGGAGGTTCCACGGGGCCACAAGTGAGAGCTTTGGGGAGAGAGCCTGGTCTGGGCGGCTGTCCGTCTCCAGGCTCATGTAATCCTCATGAAGTGGAGAGCGCCGGTGCTCCCCAGTGGAACCCAAAGAGGAAGGAGAGCCATCAGTGGACATGGAGCAGGGTGTGAATGCCGGCCTATCTCGGAAATCAATGTTGATGTACTCCCCTGGGCTGGCTGGTGGGGCTGGAGCATCAGGGGACTCGCTTGCCTTCTGCCAGTCCAGGGAGAGCCGGGTGGGTCGCACTACATGCTTGTCTGAATGTTGTAGCTCACCGCAGCCATTGTGCAACGTGAGGGGTGTCGGCAGGTCTTTTACAGGGCTGCTGCTGATGCATTCATCCTCAGCAAGGACCACCTTTGCTGGGGAGCACATGGGCACATACTCGCTATGGCTGTCCCGCTCAGGGGCTTTATAGGACCGTGGAAGGGAGAAGTAGGAGCTGTAGGACTTGGGGGTTTCTGGGGGAGTTGGCGCGTAATACCCATCACTCTCCGCCTGATGCATGCCCCCACCATGGGACATGTCCATGTACTCACCATCTCTCGGCCTGTTCCCGCCACCGCGAGGGCTAGTCTGTGCTGGGGAGGGGCCAGCCCGGGGGAGCATCATCATGTAGCCCTGGGTGTCCACCTGCTGGAAGGAGGATGTGGGGAGACGAGAGTGTGGCTGCATTGGCATGTAGTCAGTGTCTCGCAAAGATGCTACCCCTGGCATCATCGGCATGTAGCCATCATCTTTGGGCTTCTGTAGATCATCCTGGAGCAAAGGTGGCTTAGTCTCACAGTACTGGTCCAAGAAAGAGCTATAACCAGTCTTGGTGGGAGATGAATAGGCCTGCAGAGCTTTCCTCCTGAAAGAGCTGCCATCCGGCTCATCTAGAGAAGGGGTTGTCTGGGTCGTCTTCTGAATTGCAGCTGATACACTGCTGCTGCTGCTTGGAGGCCTGGAGGAGCTTGTCAGTTTGCGAGTGGGCCTTTCCTCAAATACAGTCTCATTTTGGAGGCCTTCTGCTCCTCCCACTGCCTCACGGTGTCGGTCCATGGCCATGTAGTCGCTCAAGCTGTTCTCCTCGCGGATTGGTGGGGTATTTCCCAAGGAGTCCGGGGTATTGCTCCTCACCCGGAAGTAGCGGAAGTCACAGGGGCTGGAGCCGTACTCATCGGAGGAGGCAAAGCCACCATCACTTGGCGATCCACAGATGGAGGCGCTGGAGGGCCGTGTGAGTGCCTCGGAGGCTGAGCCGTGCCCGCTGCTACTGGAGACACTGACCGGGCTGGTGTTAGAGGGGAAGTGGGAGACTGGGAGAGAGGCAGAGCGAGTGTGGTAGTTGGAGCTAGGCATGGCTCGCACATAGCGACTGGCCCCCTCTGGCCGAGCCAGGTTGGCTCTGGCAGAGTTAAGGTGAATCAGGCTGCCCGTCACTGAGCGGTAAGGCCGGCTCATGGTGCCCTCACCCTCGCTTGATGTGCGAAATCGGTAGCTGTTCACGGTGGAGCTCTTCCCAGCCGGAGGGGTTCCCACTACCATTTCAGTCCGCGAACGGCGCTGCAGGCCTGTCTGGCTTGGCGGGAGGTTGCCTAGGTGGCGACGGGTGGTGATGAAGGCGATGGGGTTAGAGCCCGATGACTGGCTCTTGCTGCGGGGCCGGAACTCCGCAAAAGCCTTCAGTGCCTTCATGGTCTCCAGGATGGTCTCGTGCATGCTCTGTGCCACCACGGAGTCATCTACCTGCATCCAGATCTCACCAGGTCCAATGGAAGAGGAGCGGCCCACCTCAATGAAGAAAAAACTTTCAGAGTGCCCACAGCGGCGGATGTTCATTAGCTGCAGATTCACACAGGGCGTCTCCGCATTAAGCTTCATCAGGTGCATGGTCTTTGCTGAAAGGCACAGTCGGTACACTCCAGTCAGGTTCTTAGTCTGCCCCAAGCCTTTGGGTTTCACATTGACTTGCCACACCTCCTTAAACACGGCTCCAGGACCATCAGCACCATAGCTGTCATCCAGCTCATCTGCCTCCAAGTGTCCCTTCTTTCCCTCACTCATCAGATCGCTCAGCGCCAGGTACCAGTCCTCCTGCTCCTGCTCATTCTCCGCAACCATGGCAAAGCATTCATCCTTGGTATACAGAGCGATGAGGTACTTGTTCTTGGCATCAGCCCTCTTATTAACGGTGAAACACTGATAAAGATAAATCACTCTCTTCGGAGGGCAGGCAGTGCTAGAGGTGGAGGCAGAGCGCAGGCTGTTCCGAAATTTCTTCTCACTATCATAATACTCCAGACGGCTGGGCCCCGTGTGGCTGGCCCCCCTAAGCACGAAAAAGCGCTTGTGGCCGTGCTTCTGCTTCCTCAGGTAGCCACATTTCCACACATCGCCATCCACCCCCTCTGACCGGGCGGCGGATACGCCAGGGTCGTTTTGCGTGTTGTTTACGGAGGCGTCACAGGGTACCGGATTCAGGGAGGAGTGCGACTTGCTCAGCGACGCCTCCAGGGCGTCCTCGGCTGGTCCGGGTCGCCGGGCCGGGCAGTCCGCCTGCTGATCACGCTCCTCTAGTACGTGCTGGTAGAGGCGAGCACCGCCGACAATGAGTAAAGACGAAGGGGGTGCACCGGTACCGCTTTCGCCGTCTGCGCTGCCTGCTGCCGCTGCTGCTGTTTTTGTACCGATTTCGCGCCGCGGCATCTCCAGCATCAGCATCGCCCCGCCGCTTCCCTGCAAATCCAGCAAATCTGCCATGAGAAGAACAAAACTAAAGGTCACTCTACCTCCGTTGCGTCGACGAAGACCCCATTCTTGTTTGAGAGAAGAAAAAGGGGACTTCAGTACTGCCGTTAGCTTCCAAACCGGCTATCCTTTCTGTTCGGAAAAAGCCACGTAGGTTGGCTTAAAAAATCGGCCAAGATTCAGCAGAAAAACAGCGGTACATACTAACTGAAGGCAGCCAATTCTGCTAACGAACTACCCCATATATTATCTCCGCTGGCCCAGTCTCTGTACACATCTTTAGACAAGCAAAAACAACACGTGACCATTGCGTCGTCCGTAGACGGAGCAGCGTAGGAGAAACCGCAGTTTCGATTGGATAAAACTTGTAAATTCAACTAAATTGACAACGTCAAGAACCAATCATTGTCGGGCTTTTGCGTGTCACTTTGGTAACTAGCAGATTACTTGGTGTTCGTTTTAAAATGGGCTGAGACTGGTATTGATTGACGGCGGATTTAATCCAACTACAAGATAAGATCCACGAGCAGTCTCAGAGTTGCGATGATGTTTGGACGACGTTTTTAAGTGACAATGATGACGCCCAATCGCTGTTCTCAGTAAAGTGTCATTCATGTGGCCTTTTCTTGCAGTGGGTATGTGTATGGTGGGCGTGTAAAGCCATTCTTGATGTAAACAAAGTGTTTGTACCTGAGATGTGACTTAACAATTAAATGAATATAGGAAGATGCTATTGTGCATTTCATTGAATTTTACTTTCATATAACCAAAACTGGGTTACATTTCCACTGTAAGCAGCATTATGCATGCCTGTTCGCTCTATAATACTATGTATTATTTACTAATGACTAAGTATGATGAATCATCTGACTGTTCTGTGAGTTTATGCGGCCTAATTTGTAATGATTATCAAAAGTTGCTAGAAAACTTGTCCCAAACGAAGAAACATGACCATTAACGGGAAAAATGTTCGTAATTCCAAAATTAGTAATGCTAGGTGAAATAGTGCCACAGGAACTTTACGGACTCGTAAGGTTGTAGCAGTTAACTTAAATTGTTCGGCAGCATAGTTAAAAAGTTTTAAACTGCATCGGATAAATATAAATGCATTGGATCAAGACAAGTTATATAATAAGCCGATAAGTGTGAAGATACGTATTTAGTAGAATATTTTATTTATTAATCGGTTACATAGATTTTATATTTGTTTTGGTTGGCGCAGTTGTGATATTTTTCTGACATCAAAAAGGTTAGTAGTTTTACTTTTAAAAACTCATTTATTTTCACAACGTATGAAAACCTCTTTACGATGAAGGAGTTTGGAGCCATCCTCTGGCAGTAAAACACAACTATACAGGTTTCATGAGCTTAGTTTTATATAGACGGAATTAAAGATGCCATTAAGCACACTTTAACTGTAGCATTTGTTCATTTTCATATTAATACTCTGTCATCAGATTTCCCAAAATTTATACACGCACAGAAAGTAACATCGTAAACAATCACACAAGAAATCGATTTGTACCGCTTTATAAATTGAACAGGCACTGCAATGTGGGTGATTGGCTCCCTCTCGTGGTTATATTATCAATGAAGTTTGGATTTCCATGCAACGTAAGTATTGTACCGAGGAGGTCCTCCAGCTCCCCCAGCAGTCGCTGAAAACTAGCCCTCGATTTGGAAAAAAAAAGCGAGTGTATCCTAAAGCTCTGACGATCTACAATGTGTGTGTGTGTGTGTG